ATAAGATACTCGAAACGAGCAGCTAATAGATTACGAGCTTTCTTCGACCTAGTGAGTTAAAGAGTTCACTGCATTTAAGCAAATGATTGTCAAAAAATTAGGCGCTGTTGAAGGTCAAAGTACCAAAAAAGAAGAAAAAGTTTTACTGAGAAAATATCAAGGGTGAGCGGTGAATAATAAGAAAGGTTTTCCTTAACACTGGAAGAACACAAAAAATTGTAAAAATTTTAAAAAATTTTTCGAAACTAAAATTACAGTAAAACAACTTATCTTAAAAACTTATTTGATAAAAATAACTTTGAAAATTTGTCACTGATAGGCGGTTATTATAGACAAAAAGAACAAGACTGACAAAAGTTGTAACATTTCACTTAAAAAATTAACCGTCTTTACTTCTTATCAGTCTTTGATAACAGAAGAAAAACTAAAAGCTCTGCAGTTTTTTTTACTAGCAAGTTTAAAGCCTTGTTTCTTTTGAGAATTCGTGTAAAATAATATTTGGTCTGAAGTTTTATGCTCTGCAAAACAGCACGACTTCAAGATAGTCTCTACTGAATTACAGCTTAGTAAATCAGAAATAAAACAGTGTAAAAAAGGTTTCAGTTCCTGCATATATAATATTTTTTTCTTGCTTTGTCGATTGTACACTTCCAATTCTGTCATGCTTTACTAGTGGGATACGAAAGCAAATTTTGTTGATTCAAAGAATAAGGACAAAGAGGGCCAGATAAATCAAAAATCGTCAAAAGACTAAATAGCTGCATTTACTTCGTTCAGGAAAATTGTTTTCGCGTTTCCGTAGGCCAAATTCTGGCCATCTTTAAAATTCCTTTGCTATCTGAGTTTAATAAATTTTTTAATGTAGCGTTGAGACTGTCAAATTTGCTTTAGAAGAAAAAAAGCTTTATAAGGCTGAACAAAAAGCGGCAAACCCTTGTAAACGCACTAAATATTTGCAGGTGCACCCGATATTGCCTCTTGCCACCACTCTTCCAGCAACCACTTGTTGAAGAGTTTCCGTTACGATACTGATACTTCTCGTAGTTGTACCTAGCCACTGCACTTACGCTTAGTATTACCTAGCAAAATTTGTTGTTAGTATTACCTAGCGTCATTTTCTCTTATATTTATGCGCTGTCACCATTTGAACTCGTCTTTAGTTTTCAGAATGACGGGTGATTATAGTCCTTGCTGCGGTAAACATATTAAATTTTGCAGTTATGAACAATAAGTCAAAAAAATCAGCGTGTGGTTACAACGCAAAATGTTAATATTTTCATATTTCACTATTTCTGGATCGCTCACCTTTTGCAAATGTGATGTTCATTGAATGAAATAGCAATAAAAAAACCAGAAAGGCAATAACAGGTTAAACATCAAGACAATGGGAAACCAGCAGTTCGTTGTCCTGTCTTTTTTTAAAGCTACCTTTTATGCATAAAGAAAAAGTAAATTTTTTTTTTGTTTTAAGATCATTAAGGGTAATCCGTATGCATAAGAATAAAAACATAAGAATAGTTAAAATCAAAAACTTTAAAGAGCAGCAAGCTCATAACTCATTTACACTAAATGTAGGTGGTCAAAAAGTGTTCTTTAATTTTTATTGCTCTCGTAATTTGCAATTCAGATACGCAATGTACTGCATTAAATACTTCGAATCTCTTTTCTGCTTCACATCGAACTTATCAATGAAATGCTGAGTGGATCAGAATTGCTAGTATTACAGTTATTGGTATCATGAATGCTTTGTAGCAGGATAGTAGGTTATAAAAAAGCACAATGAAAGCTGTAGGAAGTGCAAGAATTATCGCGGCGTTGGCAAACGGTTCTATCTAAGAAGATAAAAAAATAGTGTTTTACATACAGCTCCTTACTAGACACTACTTAACTGAATTCTTCTTGTTTTAATAAATTATCTCTTTCAATTAATAAATTCTTGACTTTTTCAAGCGTTTTTTAATAAATTTAACCTTTATATCTGAAGCTTTAGCGAACGCAGCCCAGATATGACAATGAATTTGTGACTAATTTCTACTTCAGGTAAGTGATTAAAATTTACCACAAACTGTGACTTTCTAGATGTGTAAAAATGCAGTACACGGTCATATTAGTTCAAGAATAAAAAATAAGCTTTTTTTAGAGCTTGAACAAGACTTTTTAGTGTTATGTGCAGCATTTATCAACAATGTCTCACGTACTTCGAGGATCAATGTCAGAGGAGCAAGCAGGAGAAGAAAATGCAGAGAAATAGAAGCCATACGTTCGGAACTGTCTTATACGTGGTCGATAAATGAGTTCGTCTAAAGAAAATATGAGAGGGTGTCTTTATTAATCAGCCATTTTATGCTGTTTAAAAAAATATGAGTGCTGCGTGCAGTGCCTAGAGATGCAAAATTCCTCTACATTTCCCACTCATATTTAATTCGTAATCGTTGATTTAACTTGAAATGTAATTTCTTTTTCTTGTAGCAATTAAATTCCAAAGAATCTTTTAAAAAAGGACTAGCAAGCAGGAAAGCTTTTTTTCATGTAAGTAAAGATAAGAAAAAATAAAAAATAATCAATTGTTTACTGTTTTTTAACCTCAGGTTGTACTTTAGACGAGCAACACAACTGTAGAAATGTTTCTTCTTTCCAACTAAATTATTATTTTTCGACACCTCAATATCCTCCAGGAATTACGAGTAGATGACCATTTTGTGACTACTCGCACCCATTTTAAAAAAAAAAAATTATAAACGTAATTTTGGCTATTTGTTTCAATCAGTACTTGAATACCTGCTGGTTTACAATCGCGTTTTTCGGGCAATCTTAAGCGGTTTTACAGTTTTAATTGGGATTCTTCAGCATAGAGTTCCAAAGTCAGGGTTTGTAATGACAAACAGCTCCTTATTAGACACTACGTAACTGAATTGTTCTTGTTCTAATGAATCTTCTGTTTCAGTAAACTAGTTCTCAATTCTTTTATTTTTTTTCAGTGCCTTTAACCCCTATTTGCAAGATCATAAAAAAGTAGCACAGACAAGTTGCTGAATGTATGACTAATTTAGACTTGTAGAAAACTGATCAAAAACTGGTTGAAAACGTGAATTTCTAGAAGTGTAAGAATACAGTATATGAGCAATTTAGTTAGGGCACAAAAAGCATGTCACTTCTGGAAGAAAACAAAATTCTCGTTGTGTAATGCAAAACTCTCTTATCGAGAACTTTCCCGGAAAGTTTTTGAATCCTAAAAATGTTTCTGAAGGAACGTACCAAATGAGTAGCTGAGCTGGAGCGGGAGTTAGGCTCGGTTCCTCCACTCGTTCCGGAAATTTAAAGTAACGAAGAGCTGCCACTACTTCTGTAATCTTCAAAGATAGTTTCCAAGTATTATTTTACATGTCAGTAAATAGAATGCTAAAAAACCAGAGTTATTAAAAAGCACTTTTTTTCACCTAATCAGCCAAAAACTTGAATATCTTTACATATAAATCATTCAAAAATTGAGAGTTATGAAAAACAAAAATACTGAAAAAACGAGGGCATCTACTGAAAAGTGTCAAGCGTAAAAAAAACAATAAATAATTGAAAAGGTTCATCTTATACATCAGGAAAATACGTGAAAAGTGTGAAGCTTATCAAAATTTTCCAAAATAAAAAAAATATTAAACGAAATATTCTTAAAAACTATACAGCCGTAAAGAGTACAAAAATTTCTCACTCATCATCGTCGATCAGCAAGTAAAGACAGCTGGAAACTGCAGTAAAATTTCATATAAAGGCTTTTATTTATCTTTTCTTCCTGTCAGTTATTGATATCAAAAGAAAAAGTAAAAATCTAACGAATTACTTGTTTGCAGCTTTAGAATTCCGCTCAAATCACCGTCATTTGGGTACTGAAATCTAGCAATCAGTGTACCAGCAAATAGTGTCTCACACATTTAATATAAGCATGATGTTTTTCTATGCTTGTAGAATGACGAAAAACATCGGCTAGGTTTGATAATTCTTCCCAGAACCTTGTCCACTTCTGAGGAGCAAACCCCTTCGTATTCCAGAACAGTTTGATCACAAACGCTGGTTCTCTACGTTTAAAACCTTTGGTTTTTTAGGTATAAAGTGCTAATCTTATACAAACGTGTATTGGTCAATGTCAGTTTTAGCTGCTGCTCTGTGTAACAAAGCTTGTTCTTTTGAGACAGTCTTGAAAGTTTTTATATCTTCTTCTTCTCATTTAAGAAATTTTTCGCATTTGGATCATGCATAGACTTCAAATATGGCCAGACTTCGACCTGTTCATTTTTTGTCAATGCAGCTATGTGACCTTTAGCGGCCATTTATTTCTTTAAATTAAAAATCGTTGCTTATTTACTGTTAAATACATCGAATTCTTGATTGGTCGCTGGTTACTCAGCTAATTATCTCAAATAAGCTTTTGATGACTAGAACGTCCACAGCTGTATAATGTACCTTTAGTATTTTTGCTTAAATTCAAAGGTGAGTGTTACAGCATACAAATTCAAGTGACTTATCTCGGTAAAGAACATACGTATTTTATTTCTGTATAATCAGAATAAACTCCTTAACAAGTGGTCTATAGAATTGTATAAGAAAGTCTCTGCCCAAAAATTAAAAGTGCTATTATGCAACTTTGTTGTAAACCTCGGTTTAATTTAACGAGGCTTTTATGAAACTTATCAAAGCAGTAAAAGTTGACCAAACTTAAAAGTGAGAAATGCCCGAGAAACAAATCCATAGAGTGTTATTAAAAAAAAAGAATTTTTGAAAAATAGAAATTTGATCTGTTTCGCTGCAGGCATATTGAGCTAACCTTTAAAATTTTCCTTTTTTTAATTTGACAACATGCATTCTGGCCAAGAATGTACCCTCTCATTCCCCTCTCTTCGTTCGCATGTCCGAGTGTGAAAGAACTAGAGGGAGACTCGTGATGCCAAGTAGAAGTGTGATCTGATCTTTTGAGTTACCTCGCCAGTGTTGATTGAAAGACTGCAGCTAGAATGGAGAGCAGCTCTGAGGAAATTCGGCTGGTTTGGCAGTTTGAAATAAAGTTTATTTTTATTAAGGGGTTTGTTGTCAACATGCAGTTCATTCATACCACTCTTCGCAACAGTGTTGTTAGGCCCTACAGGCAGAATTTGTTTAGAGCGGTTCCGAATTATGCCTTGTCGCTGAAAAAGCAGCATCGCTCTAAAGCAGCTAAGAAGATGGTACATTCAGCGTTACGTGCCAGTAAAAATCTGGTTATTTTCGGTTCACTGCGTACCGAATCTCGCTTACGCTTCTTCCTTCATGCAACTTGACTCTACAATTGCTACTTGTTCTCGTGACTAAATATTTTTGCTGTCATACTGCACATTAAACGCTTTAATCTTTTTACTGACCTAACGTCATGCGAATGGAAATGCGTCTTGATCGGCTAGGTCAGAGAACCTCGCTATTTGGGATTTACGTCTTACAATAACGTCAGGGAAATTACAAGTATGGCATAGATACTAAGCTATCCGGTAAAATTTTTATGTTTCTTACTACGAATTTTACGTCCGCAGTGCTTTTTAGGCTTGTTTTCCTTTCAGCAGCAAATGTTCCTTACAGATTTATAACGCGACTGGCAAATCACCTTTTTTCTAGTCATAGCACTTAGACCAGTCTAAAGAGCGTTGCTCTATGTAGGGTTTTTTCATTGCGGGCCCCGCAGTGTTGATCAGATTTAAAGAATGAACTATCTTATAAAGTCCATCCTATAAAATGCAAACTCTCTTTTCTGACTGTTGCTACAGGTTAGAACCGTTGATCTAACCAGAAACAAGTTGTTAGTAACAGTTTGAAAATGCGCTGTCCATTACCATCCATAGCTCTTGCAAGAAATGCATTTTGGTGCAGAACATTACCTACTTTTATTTTAGTGAATTAAAAATTCAGTAATATTTTCAAGCTGCCAATTTTTCTTCCGATCAGGCATACACGTTTCTATAGTTGTGTTGACAAAGAAGAACTTGCTTTATGTGTAGTTTATGGTCTTAATAGCCACAGTTTGCCCTTCATCCTTACAGCAAAGCACTTTTCTTGTATACATATACAACGATTCGAATACAACTATTACAGTTTGAAACGAATAGCACAGCAATTATGACGATGGAAACAAACACATTTGGCTAGTAACGGATCGCTGTTTGTAATTCAGCAATTTTCCCTTCTTTTATCAAATCCTTCTGTCTTTGACATTCATTACAGTTCCTCCAAAGGTTCTCAATTTCTCCAAACTGGTAAAAATGAGCAACTGGACTTTAGTTAATCCACTACCAAAGTACATTAACTCATCAATCTTTATATGTTGGTGTTCTTTCAAAACCGAGTTATGTATACAGTGCTAAAAAACTTCCAATACCTCTTTTAATCATCTGCACTGGCTGTGTAAAATCTAAAAAAAAAAAATATACTGTGAAAAAAGATTGAGAAAAATAATCTGTGCAGATAGCGGCCACTTCCTCAACATTACCACAAACTTTTTTAATTTGCTCAACTTTCTCAAAAGCTGCCAGTGAGAATGCTACGATCCAGAAGCGTCTAGACCTACGTGAACTTAGTTAGAACTTGAAGGAATCGATTGCGAGGTGCTGCTTCTGATTCTATATGCTAGAAGCATTTGGTAGTATCCAGTGTAAAGTAATATCAGTAGAAATACTTGTGAACTATAAGTGAGCACCCCGAACTAATAAGAAACAATTACGCTGCAATTCCATCTAGAATGCTCCTCATCTTTCAAAGACAAAGGTGTTTATAACCACTAGAACTGTGTTATAATATAAGAACACTTGTCATGTGTTAATTGACGGTTTCTCAGAAATCTAGAAAAGCATCTGATCTACAGCATATTAAAAAGCATGATAATGTACTAATCACAGTGTTTTCGGAGCACGCAACACCTAACCTGTTCCATTTCCAGAACAAGGTACGCTTTACCTTAACTTTTTTATTTTCAGCGCCTCACTCCTCTGGAGAAAAGCAATTTAGAAAAACAATTTGAAGCAAAAATACAGTTTTTTAGAACAGCTGTGGAACTTAAAAATTTTTGAAAAAATCATGCGTGTTTCTCACAGAAGCAAGCGTGCAGTGAGCTCATTTAAAACTGTATTCTAAATGAGCTGTCTACAAATGAAAGCAGAAAATGGAGAAAGCTTATAGATTTAGAAATCTCTCATCTGTAAGAAAAATAGACTATTACACTATAATGACTAGTATCTAATCAGTCAAAAACTTCATATGTCTGGTAAAAAACAATGATCGATTTTAATCAAGGAAAAAAATTGGCGGAAAATGACTAAATAACTGCATTGACTGCACTGAAGAAATCGCTGTTGCATTCTTAAACCAAATTCTGATTCTGTTTACAGTTCCTTTGGAATCTGAGTTCAATTAATTTTTTTATAGTATCGGACATGTTACATCTGCTTTACGGAGCGAGATCTATTGAAACGAATAAGAAGCAGAAAGCACCTGCAGACGCACCGTATTTTTCTAGCTGCACCTAATAACGCGCTTGGTCACCACTCTTCTAACAACCGCTGGTTCAATTAGAAGAATTTCCAGTATAATAGGGGTAATCTCTGTAGTTGTAACCAGCTATCACAAGCTCGTTAAAACGTGCTGTCCCTTCCAGTCCACTAAGTTGTTGTTTTGTTAAAGTAACTTTATAAAATGGAGGTGAAGGCTCTTCTCTAACGTCGAGTCTGAAAAAATGTCAATTTTAAACTTAAAAAAGAGAAATATATGTTTTTCCACTCCACCTGAAAAGTAAATTAGCCCACTGCGTTCAATAACATTTCAGTGACTTTCAATAGAAATACTCACAAGAAGAGACAGTATTACGCAAAAGTTTTGGAAAATGAGCTTAAAATGGTTTTCAAAATAAATATTAACACCATTTTTTTTTTAATAGAAGTAAAAATTACATCCCGCTTCCGTTTCAGAAGATAACAGAGACTTAAGAACAAATTTTCATCAGAAAGAAAAGATTTCCGCTATCATGTTAAAGACTGCAAACACTCACTTCCTTACTGGAGGCAGAGGCTTAATCTTGCGTCCATAATATCCCGTTTTCTTGTGGAACAAACCACTGCTCATCTTGTATCCGAACCTGCGGTGCATTTGAGCGGAGCCAAAAATTTTGTCTTTAAAATCAGCGTGAGAAAGCCTACCAACAGTAGCCATACACTCCTTGTGTAACGAAAACTCATGTTTGTGAGGAAGCTGCAAAGAAAGAAGCTGTCCATCCGGAAAAAAAAACAAAGAATGAAAATTAAAGAAATAAAAGGAGTATAGAACAAGAAGTAGTTATAGAAATGGTGCTTTTGAAAATAGCATTTTACAAACTTTTCCATAAATATTATGCAAAGCAAAAGAAGTTAAAACAGCTAGTTCGGCATCGTTACACACAATTTACTTAATCCAAAAAAAAAAAA